TCTTAACTTTTATAAAGAATATCTCTTTGGATTTGAGACTTTAGTCTTTGCAACTTTACAGATCTTCTTTATGCACCAAGAGCTTGTAACACTCCAAAGAGAAAGGAAAAATTGAAATCGCATCATATGACCCCTTTAAGCTAATGACTGATGATATGTTTACACTGATAGACATGGGGATAGGAAGGTGCTTGTATGCAGATGACGGGGCGCTGTGGAAAAGAGGGCGCACTGTGAGGCATGTGGAGAAGTGTATGCAGACTGCTGTTAAAATAGTAGACAACTGGGCTAATGAATGGGGTTTCTGTTTCTCTGTAGCAAAAACTCAGGTGATCTGTTTTACCAAAAGGAAAACCAATCCAATATTGAATATTAAACTGTATGGACAACAATTGGAGCAGGTGTCCGTAATTAGATTTCTGGGAATGTGGATGGATACTAAACTGGATTTTAGAATTCATATTCAGAAAATAGTAGACAAATGCAAAAAAGCAATAAATGTAATAAGGTGTTTGGCAGGTGTTGAATGGGGGGCATGTCGTCAAGTCTCTTAAAAGAATATACTGTGAACTATGTAATGAGGTGCTTGGCAGGTGTTGAATGGGGGGCATGTCGTCAGTCTCTTAAAAGAATATACTGTGCACTGATAAGAGCAGCTATTGATTATGGTAGTATGGTGTACAGTTCGGCATCTAAAACACAACTTTTAAAGATCGAGGCAATTCAATCACAAGCACTGCGAATATGTTGTGGAGCAATAAGATCATCTCCAATAGCAGCAGTACAAGTAGAGATGGATGAAATGCCTCAGGAAATTCGAAGGCTCAAGTTAAAGATGAGATACTGGATTAATATAAAAGGACACTTAGATAGTCATCCAGTTAAGAAAGTTCTGAAGGATTGCTGGGAATATGAGTATAAACTATCAAGCTTTGGATGGACTGCCAATGAGGAGGCACAGAATATGGGACATCAATAGCCCCTTCTGTGGCAACTTCAGCAATTCCTCCTTGGCTTTTCCCTTTGCCTGTAGTTGACATTCAGTTATATGAAGAAAAAAGTATATTAACAAATATAGCAGTGCAGCAATATATTGAACAAACGTATTATAGCATATTGCAAATATACACGGATGGCTGTAAAGAGCCTGAATCTGGAATAACAGCAGCAGCAGTCTACATACCCCAATTCAAAGTCAAAATTTCAAAAAGAATTTCAGATCATATATCTGTTTTTACTACAGAGACAATAGCAATATTCCTAGCTCTTCAGTGGATAGAAGAAGTGCAGCCAATAAGATCAGTCATTTGCACAGACTCCCTTTCAAGTGTTAAATAGCTTGCTAAGTGGAATTGCAACAGCAAGGCAAGATATGATTTTTGAAGTGATGCAGAGTTTATTTAGAATAAGACGATCTGGAATAATAGTAAACTTCCTGTGGGTACCATCACATATGTGTGTGGAAGGAAACGAGGAGGCAGACCATCTGGCTAAACAGGCTCTGAAACATGCACAGATTGACATTAAAGTGTGAATGAGCAAAGCAGAAGTAAAA